TGTTTTATTGATTATGAAGCCACAAGTAATAAAATAACAGGCATTAATAACGATGAAGCATATAGAGGCTTCCCATTCTAATTTCTTTACACATACGATAATTTTGCCCACAAGAAAGAATTTTTTGTCACATACGATAAAATTTACAGTTATTTTTTTATGGTAGCTATAGGGATTTCAGCTATATTATTTAACAGGTGATGATGGGATGGAGAACAAACTTGCATCAAAAAGTGAATTTCGTAAAAAATGTAACACACGATAATTTTGCGCAATAATTCGCAATAATTTTGCGATATAATTCATGTTATCAATTAAATTGAATAAAAGTTATCAAATAGGTGGCAACCTTCCACAAAAATATTTTCGGCTGTAAGCCTTTGTAGACCTCTTTCTTTTGACAGACATACCGCAATAAACTGAAATTTTCAGTCAAACAGATGGTCACTCTCTAATTTTTTTCTTTCTATATTGTAAGTTAGACCTCTGCAATACATCGGTGAAAATTGCATAAGAGTGATGAGCGCACAAACATACAGACGGACCGACAGACAGAGACAAATTCTAAAAATTGTTGATTTGGCTTTGTTGCTCTTATAAAGACCACCCATATTAATTTTTCTTTAATTTCCATGCTGTATAGACATTGGCCTGTTACAATTTTATTATAAGCTAGATTTCATTTATTTTATCAATTTAATTCAATCAAAATTTTCAAACAGGTGGCTACCCTCCTCAAAAATATTTTTGGCAGTGATACCCATATTGCAATATTCTATTTATCTTATAAATTAAATTAAACTAAACTTTTCAAACAGGTGGCAACCCTAAAGAAATATTTTCGACTGTAAGCCTTCTTTAACCCCTTTCTTTTGACGCCCATATTGCAATATTAACATTTTCTTATCAATTTAATTAATTTAAAATTTTCAAACAGGTGGCAACTCTCTATTTTTTCTTTCTTTTCCTTAAGTTAGACCTCTAGCAATACACTGGTGAAAACTGCATTCAATTCCATGCATTAGTTTTCGAGTGATGCGCGTGCAAACATACGGACAGACAAACAAAAATTCTAAAAATGATTGATTTGGTTATGTGGCTATAATAAAGACCACATTAATTTTTCTTTAATATCTATAACGTACAGACATGGGCGTGTTACAATTTTATTATATGATAGATTAAAGCTCTTTTAATTTCAAAGTATATAGTTCCCAATCTTTTGAAAATCCATTTGAAAATAGAAAAGTTATAGCAAATTTAGAAAACGATATTGGCTTCAAGCAACGTATCCATACTGTACAGCACATTTGTTCGTAAAATCAATTACATAAAATATCATTTCCATTGGCATGATTATGCTCATCGCAATTACAAAAACAGCTGACAATAGTTTTGTTTCATTAAGCAAAAGTTAATAATATTTTGATTGAAGCGGCAATTGTTTTTGCTCATTTTTTGTCAGGATTCGATTGTAATCTTTCATAAATTGAACACCCCGCTCAGCTGTGTTATTTACAACGAATAATACTCGACAAAATTCGGTAGCATCTATATAATCTTAATTTTGTCCCCATTCGGATGGATCAATCGGCAAGAAGTCTGAAGACGAGCCAAAGGCAACGAAGAAATTTTTAGTTTTGTAGGACACGAAATCTCTAATAGTTTTGCCAATCAAGAGAACGGGATTTGAAATCACTCTATCCTCACTGAATTTCACGTTTGGCTCGATTAATTGCAGTGCCTTCACCATTTCTCGTTATTCTCCACTAGGAGATCATTAAGGTGTTCTTACACGATATGTATTTGCATCTGTAAATGTGACTTTTTCGATACATACATATGTAATTGCGTATGTCTGTCAAATTCACAGTCTTTATTAAACTATTTAAAAATACGATCTTTGAAAACGAAATAAACCAAACTCAGATTCTACCTGTGTGTCAGATGAAAATAGAAGCATTTCTATTTCGTATGTACGTGCATCTGCTTTGTACAGAAACAAATCTAACTTGCCTTTACACGGTATGTAAAAAGGGCCATGTACACATGCAAATACATCCGTGTAAGAACACCTTTATCAAAAAAAACCCTAAAGCAGCAGTGTGGTTGACCACGTTTTATTGAATTTGGCTTCGTGAAAAAGAATTAGAGTAGCTGCTGGGCCCACTTTTATGAAATGATATCCCACAAAATTTGCCTTCTTCTTGTTTGTCAGATACACAAAAAATAGCCAAACAAAACCCGTCGTCAAATTAGCTCAATTTTTGCTATTAAAATAATTATACAGTAACTTACAAGTAATTTTAAGTTCTGAGGATTTCTCTCATATAAGAGGATAAAAGAGGACAAAAACGCCAACCATGGAAAAAGCTTGAAGTTTTATGTAAAATAGTTTTTATTTTGGTGGAAAATATTTACAAGTATAAATTTATCCCGCAGAAACTTCCAAACTTTATCTAAAAATCAAATGTTATTTTGCTATCTCAGTTTATCTTATTTTGAGCGTGTGTGAATCGGTGACAAAGTTCGCGGCGAGTAAATTTTTGACAACTATGAGGTGAATGAAATTTCAGTAGCTCATGAGGCTAGTGAAATTTTTGACAAATGCATAGAAAATTTTGACAATCGCAAAGATGGTTGATGTGTGTAATTTTTCGTTAAATAAAAGCTTAGATTGATGAATTGCAATCAACGATGGTAGATGTTTTCTTATAATATTAATTTAACTTCAATTTGTAATATTTTACTCCGCATAAATCTGCGGTTATCAAAAATTTACTGCTGTCAAAAAATATTTCATTTCGCACAGCAGATTGGCAAAACTGTCTCGCCATAGTAAAAGTATTATTCAACAGCTTTTCCCATAGAACTTTGTTACCGATTCACACACGCCCTTTATCAATTTTTTTTTTCAGCCAAGACATAACAATTGTTACAAAACTATTGCTTAATGAAACAAAACTATTGCCAGCTGTTTTTCTAATTGCGATGTGCATAATCATTTCAATGGAAATGATATTTTAATTTATTTTACGATGTGCTGTACAGTATCGATACGTCGCTTGAATCCAATAACATTTATTTGTTTACTATTTCCTATTTGGGAATTTGTTTCTCCAGAGAAAGAAATCCTCTAATAACACTGTGAGACAAATGGTAGGGGTCAGTGATCGGGAAAGGTTCAAACTACGGGGGAAAGTTATATTATAGAAAAACGTTACATGAACAGATTAAAGGAATTGTAATTTTTAATTTTTTTAATTTGTTTGAGCAAAATCGGACTAGTGGTTCTCGAGTTATGTCAAAAAAAAGACCACCAAAGGTGACAATTTCCCCGATATGATAGTTACTAACTTCAAATCGATATATCTCGATTTCTAGACGTGACCCAGCGAAACGCCGGGACACGTATAATTTTTTTAAATTTGTTTGAGCAAAATCGGACTAATGGTTCTCGAGTTATGTCAAAAAAAAGACCACCAAAGGTGACAATTTCCCCGATATGATAGTTACTAACTTCAAATCGATATATCTCGATTCCTAGACGTGACCCAGCGAAACGCCGGGCCACGTATAACTTGTTTTTGACCGATATAAAATTTCCCGTTGGTTTCATCCCATCCCGATTTTGACTGTCGCATAGTGTAATTAACTACCAGGGAGTAGCATTTTCCCCGAATTTCAAACTTCGAAAGAGCTGTTTGACAGTTTTTTGATAGCTCAACTCCGCCATTTAAATTTAAAAATTCTCAGGGAATTTTTATTCATGATAGGAGGAAAGGGAAAATAGAGACAACTCCCAGGGAGTTTCTGTTTAGAGTCGGCCCTTATAACTTTTCTATTAACAAATCGATTTGCAAAAGATTTGGATCTATATACTTTGAAATTAAATAAACATAAAAATAAGAACAAAAAGTTTGCAGCTTTTAGGTGTAATTCACAGTGGAATATCGATGCGACTTAAAATTGTGTCCGATTTCACCCATAAATTTGCAGAGAACTCTTAAACTGATAATTTGATTGCAAAACATGGTATATCAAGTCCATAGGGATTTCGAAGATCTTGCGATGTGAGAATCAGAACCGGATATTTTTGGAAAAAATTGAAAATGCTGTTTTCTCAATTTGGAATAAAAACGATAACTTCGCGAATTCTTAAAACCTATCCTACTATTTTTATATTTGATCTCATATTCGGATTCTGTGAGTTATTTTACATAGCAAATGACTATAAAATCCACGATTTTCAACTATTTTGTTAACAACTTTTTTCCCTGAACGCATGTTTTTTTTTTTAATTTTGAAATGCAACGCGCAAGTACTTAGAGTTATCATATTCGAATAAAATGTTGCGCAGCTTATTTTTCGACCAAAAGAAATAACTAACGGTCTAATACACACATATAAATTTAATACCGAATGTTTGCTTAAATTGCTTAACTTCGACAATTTTTATACAATTGCATTAGGTGAGGTACCAATTTATTCGAAAATAAATGTTATTTTAGGTAAAAACTACAAACTTTAATAGAAATTTTTGAAATCAGCAATGTCCAGGTGAAAAAATAAGAAAAATATGGGCTTATTAAAGTTTAAGCGATGAAAACTTCCAACAAGCTTAGTCTAAAGCATAAACAGATGGCAGCGTTGATCCGGATATTATCTGCAGTTGATCCGGATTAAGTCCGAGTTAATCAGGATCAACGCTGCCGTCTGTTTAAGCTTTAACAATATATTGTTATACACCATTTTAAAAGTCTATAAATCCCCTTTTCAAAACATGTTCGGTTTTTATCGGATGAAAAATAGTCAAACTGTTAATAGATAAGCGCATCAAGTACGAACATAACGATTTTTTGTAAAAAATTTATGGTTCAGAAACTATACGGAATTTATTTTCATGTTGTACTCGACCATAGCTACAACCTACACTAGGTTTTGTTTGGGCATATTTCATTACTTTTTTGTGTAGCAACGTGTTGTAATAAACAACTTACCTGAAGTTGGGCCAGTTGATTCATGCTTTGAATTTTGGTCAATTCTAGCATTTCTTGCATAAACAGCAAACCCATTTCCCCATCTTCGGGACTCTTCGCCTGTCAAAAGAAACATTAATAAATTGAATAAGTATAAAATATGTAGAATATCCTTGCAACTTCAGATTAGTGTGACCGTCTAAATTAAATTCATATACTTATAAAATACATTCATATGCACATACCAAGATGTCTTAATTGCTAATCAGCAAATATCAAAAGGAGCCCTTGAAAAGTCTTTTGTTCTTTAAAAAACTTATTTTATACCTTTCATGAACATGAAATGGTATCACTTTGGCACGATGTTTGTAAGTACCAGAAGAAGAATATATAAATATATAGACCCATGAAAATGTATGCCAATAAGGCAAAACGCTGAACGTTAACATAATAACGTTGAACGTTTATCCATATTCATGTTTGTCTGTCCGTCTGTCTGTCGGGTTGAACGCAATCTAGTCCCCAGTTTTAGAGATATGCGACTGAAATTCGGTAAAAGAGTGTATTTTTATAATGTATTAATCATTTGTCGGAACCCGCAAAATGGGACCACTATGACATATAGTTTCCATTAGGGTGTCCCTTATATGGCCAAGTTTAAAAAAAATTTACCGAATACTTCGGGAATTGGCTTCAATTGCTTCCTTTTATAAAGATGAACTCGACTGTAAGGTTTCAGCTTATTTAGAGAATTTTCAGGTGTGCTACAAACACTTATAAGATTATGAAAAACGAGAGACGAATTAATTTTTTGTCAGTTTGTTATTATGTTAACGTGAAATTAAATCCAAATCATTAAAACATTTTGGCAGTATTTTTGTTTGAAAACCCATTTAAATTGTTTATTTTTAAATCTGCAAGGTCCCCTTTTGCTATTAATAAATGTTTTATATTGGATGGCTGGCTTTTTTTGCGTTCTGCTCATTCTTTAAGCCATTTGTCTCCTTATCTGAATTGACAAATTTTTATCAGATCAGAAAGACAAAGAGCAGATAATTTCTCATTGAGATACCATAATTGCCCTTAAAATTTTTTGAGTCCCATATACTTGAGATACATTTTTGTAAGTATCTTCATATTACAAAATTTCTCGCAAGAAATTTAACAAATGTTGAGGGGCGGGGGGTGAAATAACACAAGCGACAATAACGAACACTTGTTATTTCCCAATTGAATGTGAAATAACTGTATGCTTTATTTCATTTCTCGTTGAGCAATAAGACCAACTTTTAACCCTAACAACTGAGTAATAAAGCAAAAGCACTAGCACATAGGTAGTCACCCAGTTACATTTGACAAAAAATAGTAGTACATGAACAAGTTAAATGGACGAATTTGTAAGTCTACAATTTTGAAAGTGTCCAGCGTCGCGGCGGTCCGCGCAAATTTGTTGACGGAGACCGTTTCGATTGTTATTTTCGTGGGTTTAAATAATACAATTTTATAAAAAAATTAAGTAAAATATACTGTGCATGATTGTAAAAGTCATCATAAATGAATTTTCTCGATTTCTGTGTTTTCGTGAGCGGCAATACGGACAATACGAAAAATTGGCTCAAATAATGGAAACCAAAAGGGATATTATGCGGGGTTTTCAAAGAGGAAGTCCAGTTGTTTTTGTTTTCATTATCTATAAATAAGACTGTGCAATGCACTTAATACAATTTGAATACAATGAATTTATATAAAATTACTGGACGTATGTACATACACACATACATAAAAAGTGGCGTTACATAAAAGATGTTTTTATTATTGCACTCGTTTTTACTAACTTTTTAAAAACACTGGCTTTCAGCGGTGAGTAATGCAGTTCAAGATGAATTTCTTAAGATTATTCACTCAGCCGAAAAGGATCAAACATGTCCCTAAATCTCCGCCTTTCAACTTCCGCATCAGCAATCTGGGACTCGTTCTCCTCTTCAAGCAATAACGCCGCGGCTATAGATTTCATTCTTATAATTATGTTTCGGTGACATGGTGTGAAATAAAGTCAATTGACATTATTACCCTTTTAAAAGCGAAATAAAATCCATTGACACTATTGCTCTTTCAAACATTAAATTTGCTTACCTTCGCGGCGGCCAGCGTCCGCGCGCCACACCACATCACGCTACGCCGCGGCCCCCCTTCCCCCTCTCCCGACGTGCTGTAACGCAGGTAGATTTATTTTTTGTATACGTTGAAATAAAATTTTTATATATTTTACATATCAAGGGCTTATATTCAATAATACCCTCTATCTGCACACTTTGATCCTGATATAAAAATCCACCTAAGATTTAACTGTCATCGGTGATATTAATGCTACCTTATATAACGCTTGACAGAAGAATTTACACTATTATAAATTGGAAATCAGAAGTGATACATCAGTGATGACAGGTAATAAGTCCCAGATGGTTTCTAAAATCACAAATTAGTTTTTGTGCAAATTGCAGATAGAGGGTTTTAGTGAATTTAAGCCCTCGATATTTCACATTTTTATATTTGTAAGTTATTGGAAGATTTATGCTGTGTTTTGGCAACAACTTATCTACAGTAAAAAAGCATATAATTTGTGTTTCAAAAGTGTGTGAAAACCAAAAACCAATCAATTAACTTATATGATTTCGGTTCCGATATTAAATAATAAATAATTGTTTATACCCGCATTTTGGCACATTGGCTTTAGCTTCATAAGCTGCTATAGTTTGGTGGCAAATATTTCTTTTGTTTTGTTTCGATTTCACACATTCCTAGGTAACCAGCTGATCTCGAAGATGTTTTCGCTCTTGCTCTTCTTCTTTCGATTCGATCGTATTTCAGAATACCAAATTACGATTGTAGCGGAGCAAGGGTTGCCAGATTTTAAAACGGAGAAAGTACATTTATATTTTCGATGGAAAAAAGCAGTACATGACATAAGAAAGGAGTACAATTTTTTTTTAGTTTTTTGTGTAATTTATTGTTCCAAATTACCATTAAATAGGTACAAACAAACAAAGATATCTTAGAAATCTTTTTCAAAGCAACAATAAATGTGAAAAATAAATACAGTCAGTCAATAAAGTTTAGGTACAGCGAATTTATTACAATACGGGCAACTATTTTTTAAAAATTTTATTTTTCGATAATTTCTTAAAAAAATATGGTCAATTCTACAACAAAAAACTCAAAAATCAGGGTTCCGAACCTTGTGCAAAATTAAAGAAAATTCCGCAAAATTTTATTCAAATATTGCACTTTTTATTTACGCTCTCTAGAAAGAAGTTGGGTATGCAGTTTTTTAGCCCATTCAATTTTAGTATAACAAAGTGCAAGTTTGTGGTAGCTAGGACTTACCATTGATTTTTAGGATTTTTTTTGTTGAAGGTGTCGCTCATTTTCTCCATATAAAATAATGTTTGATAATTTTTTTATATGGAAAAAATGTGCGACACCTTCAACAAAAAAATTTCCCAAAACTCAATGGTAAGTCCTAGCTTTACTTGCACTTTATTATACTAAAATTGAATGGGCTAAAAAACTGCATACTCAAATTTTTTCTAGAGAGCATAAATAAAAAGTGCAATATTTGAATGAAATTTTGCAGAATTTTCTTTAATTTTGCACAAGGTTAGGAACTTTTCTTTTTGAGGTTTTTGTTGTAGAATTAACCATATTTTTATAAAAAATTTGCAAAAAATAAAATATTTAAAAAATAGTTGCCCGTATTGTAAAATATTCGCTGTACCTAAACTTTATTGACTGACTGTAACTATATGGGTTGGCTTTCCAATAGGGTTGGTTGTTAAAGAGATGGAGATCGAAGGGGGAGTGAACGTGGCACCTTTTCCGACCTTTTTGGAGAGGGCATGAGCCGCCATTGACAAAAATGTTACTCCCAATCACCTAGGGCCCCTATGGTTCCCTAAGGACCCCTTTAGAAAAATTTCCAGAAGTCACAATTTTCACTTGCGTTTTTTCGTTTGAAAAAGGTTGAATATTCATTTGCACGGGACATTTTATAACCCTTAATAACAAAAGAGGTGCCTGCCCCTCTTCCCCAGAAACACAGAAAGGAGAATTCTACTTAGTAAGGGTTATAATCCCTAAGTGCGGCCGAAGGCCGCCTACGCAGGAAGGAGTTAAGTGCAAAAAAACTTTGGATACCGGAATTATATCCACAAGAAATGTTATACAATTTTGACGAGGAGAGGGGTTCCTCCTCTCTTCTTCGGCAACACAGAAAGGAGGATTCTACGTAGTAAGGGTTATAATCCCTAACCGAATTCTACGCAAAAATTCTGTGGACGCAAGGGAAAATTGTGATTTTTGGCGATTTTTCTAAGGGGTCCCTGGGACCCATAGGGCGCCTAGGTGGGGGTTGGAGGTGCCACGCCCACTCCCCCTTCACTCATCGCCTCTTCAATGACCGCCCTTATAGGAAATAATTCCAGACTCTTCCTGAATGTATGGCCATTTTTTTAAATTAAGACTTATAAATAATTTAATATTTTTCGGATTTTTATATCCTGCGCCCTGCACCTACCTTGCAACGGCCATGCTTACACTTTTTCACTATCACACTTAACTTTGCTTACTAAGTAGTGTTTGCCACAATGAAATGGCAAAGTACAGGGCCTAAAATAATAACTGTCGCACAGGTTTTTTGAAAAATAAAAGGGTTCTTTATAGATTTTGTTAAACAAAGTATTTTTATGTTAACTTTGTAAATATTTTACTTAAATTTTATTAATTGGTTTTAAAATTTTAATCCTTATTTGCATTTGTCAGCTTTGGGAGATAAGTACATGCAGCACACACCTCTTTTGCAGGTGTATTTTTTCTTAGATTTTGTATAAAGAAAAAAAAACTGTATAGGGTTGATCGAATGAATTCCCTCCTAGTGGGAGGAAATTAGCCTATGGTTACAGAAGATATGTAATAAAGTAACCGACGAAGACTTGCGCTTTTCTCCCAAACCCCCTGGTAAACCCAAATGAGGGTTAAATTCAAAGCTATACAGTAACGACTTTTTTTAATTGCGCTTTTCTCTTAAAGTGTTTATCGCCGGTAAACCCAAATAAAGGTTAAAA